AAGAATGAGAGAGAGAGAGAGAGAGAGAGAGAGAGAGAGAGAAGAGAGAGAGAGAGAGAGAGAGATAGAGAGAGAGAGATAGAAGAGACAGACAGAGAGAGAGGGGGGACGGGGGTAGGGGGGGGGGGTAGATACTGAATACGTATGATAGATTGGTATGTAGATATGTTATATTCTTATTAGTGATGTACACTTGTATGGGTACACCATGAAACACACCATTATACACTTGTACATGTATATAATTATACACATTATTATACACCTGTACAAGTATATAATCATAAGTATACGACAAGTAGATCATGTACAGCACATACGTAGTTCTTGATCTCAGCAACAGTACATAGTTATACATTATCATAGATAGCAGTAGAACACAAGCAATAAAAATGTTAATCAAACACGGAACATGTGCAATAAATATGTTAATTAAACACCGCCACTTTCACTCTTTCCACACTCTCTAGAAAACAGTAAAATCAACGTACCTTGACATGTCCAAGTTATCTGAACACCTATATTAAAACAATAATTTCTTAAATTGCTAATAAACTAAACTTGGTAGGAATAAAGAACACCCATGTCCACATTAACTCACTGATGATGAGAATGAAGATGAAAAATGATAAAAAGGTGAAAATAAATAGAGCGAATGATGTAAGGGAAAGGGAAAAGGATTAGGAGGATTGTAAATTAGATTAGGGAAGTCTTGTGCAGTCTTCGCATCGCCGGCCATAGTCTGCAAGTAAAGAAAATGGAATTAATTTTTTAGTAAATAATTAAATAAAGGAATAGTCAATGAATAAGTGCTTAAACGTGAGGATGTTGTGAATGCAAGTCAATATAAGACAAATATGTGCGCCAAACACACACACACCACCACACACACACCATATACACACACACACTCACACACGTACATACGCACACACACACACACACGTCATGCAACCATATGATGTTACTATCCTTTGTTTCTGTGATCATGTAACTGTTACAATCTCCCTGTTCTTCTATCTGTTTAATACTGTTTATGTTCGTAAATCGAGGAATAAAAAAAAAAAAAAAAAAAAAAAAAAAAAAAAAAAACTTAAGGTCATTTACTTACAATTATCTATTCATAGAAATCACATAATCATGTTCTGACAAGTTAAAATTTGCCAACGCTTTTAATTTTTATGATTTCAATGTACACCTCGTTTCGCTAACCACAACAAGCCACTCAAGAACACGAGAACATTTTAAATCGTCTCAATTAATTCGATCCAATCTTATATATCATTGTAAAAATCCTTGATAAAAATATTTCTTTATTTCCGATCCTACCCAATCATAGTGAAATGCTGTACAAGAATCTATGGAGACACAATCCAATCCTTTATAATAACAATGGAATCCTCTGCTTACCTGCACCAATCTTATATATTGTAAAAATCCTTGATAAAAAAATACTTCTTTATTTCTAATCCTACCCAATCATAGTGAAATCCTGTACAAGAATCTATAGAGACACAATCCAATCCTTTATAATAACCCTTTGCTTACCTGCACCAATCTTATATATTGAAAAAATCCTTGATAAAAAAATACTTTCTTTTATTTCTAATCCTAACCAATCATAGTGAAATCCTGTACAAGAATCTATAGAGACACAATCCAATCCTTTATGACAATCCTTTGCTTACCTGCTACAATCTTATACATCATTGTAAAAATCCTTATTAATAAAATCACTTCTTTATTTCTAATCCTACCCGATCATACTGAAATCCTGTACAAGAATCTATAGAGACACAATCCAATCCTTTATAACAACAATCCTTTGCTTACCTGCTCCTATTTGCTATTCGGTCCCTTATCACACCCTCGCCGCTCGGTGACGATTCCTAGTTCGCGCCGCCGATGAAAAGGCTCAGACCTCACTATTAGGCTTCTATGTGGGTGCGGGGGACGCTCCTGTGGGCCGGTGGCATGCGGTGTGCAGTGTGTGTAACCCGACTTGTTCTTGTAATTTTTGTTAATGGCACTCTATCTCTCTGGATGATGAGTACACACATAGCACAACGCACACGCACGACGCAACGCACACACAGACACGATACACGCACACACACAGCGGCACCACACACACACACTACACACACACACGCACACACACACCACGGCAACACACACACGTCGGCACACACACACATCAACATACACACCACACACGAACATACACAACCACACGTGTGTATATGATATGTATATAATACTATTTATATATATATATATATTATATATACAAATATATAAAATTATTCGTATGCCTAGTTGCCACTATCACATTTATTTACCCCACACATGTTTGGCCCGCAAACAAGTACACCCTCCACACACCCATGTCCAACACCCACCGCCTCCACGGTTCGACATCGCAGGACCTCCGGAAAACACCCCAAAGATTATATTATCTCAGCGACACAGAAAGAAATAAATCACTATTATGAAGCTTGGACACATCATCTCTGATACATTGAGAAAACATACAAAAAAAAATAATTGGAATAAGAAGAATTACTTGTTGTAATGTAATTTTATTTAAAACCTTGGAGTTATATATTAGGAGAGAGAAGAAGCTTATTAACACAAATAAAGATCTTGATTATAGGGATTCTCTTGGTTGATGATTTAGAAAGATATAGATAGATGGTGAGTACCGCATCTGAGAGATGAGAGAAGGCACAGGAGATAGATGATGGAGATAGGATGAGAGAGAGAGGGCTAGAGAGAGAGAGAGAAGAGAGAGATGAGAGGAGAGAGGAGAGAGAGAGAGGAGAATGAGAGTAAGGCAGAGAGGGAGAGAGAGAGAGAAGAGAGGACCGGATTGAGAGAGAAGAGAGGGGGCGCGGGGCCGGGGGACACGGACAAAGCCGCGCGGACGGACGCGAAAGACTGGGAGGAGAGAGACGACGAGAGAAGAGAGAGAGGAGAGAGAGGATGGGAGAGAAGAGAGGAGGAGTGAACGCCGAGAGAGACGAGAGAGAGAGAACGCGAGGGAGGGTACCTCAGGGAGCAAGACAGTGATGTGAAGAGAGAGAGTGAGAGAGACGAGAGGAGAGAGGAGAGAGAGAGGAGATGAGTAGAGAGAGAAGAGAGAGAGAGGAGAGAGGAGAGAGAGTTGCAGTGAGGAGTGAAGTGAAGATAGGGGTGGGAGGATGGGAGGACAGATGAGACGAAACAACGTTACGGGCTCGGCGATTCTCGCACTCTGGCTGATACGTGTCGTATCCCGCGTGTGTGAGAAGAGAGAGATCGAGAAATAGACGAGATAAAAAGGTGGGGGGGAGGTGCTAGTGAGACGAAAAAGAATGAGAGAGAATGAGAGATCGATAGAGAGAGAGATGACGATGAGCAGGCAGATGAGGAAGGATGACGAATGAGAGGAGCGATAGAAGAGAAAGGAGAGGAGAGAGGAAGAGAGGAGGAAGAGGGGAGAGAGAGAGAGAAAGGAAAGATGGTCTGAGAGAGAATAGGTGAAGAAGGAGAGAAGGATGAGGTGGGAGGCGCGAGAGCGGATGGGATGCAGTGGAGGATAGGACGACGGAGACCGGGAATATGGTGAGAGGAAGGGGGGGGCCATTTTCACGTTCACGCAAGCTCCGTTAAGCTGTTACTAGATTTATTGTATTTCACGTAAACTGTCATATCTATTGTTTCTTTTCTTTCCACGAGTAGCCGGAATGATGCGAGGGAGAGTGAGTGACGAGATTGCGACAGAAAAAATGCAAGAGAAAGAGAAATGCATAGAGAGAGACGAAGATGAAAAAGAACGAGAAGTGATTTGAGTGAGTGGTGAGGAGGGAAGAGAGAGAGGAGGGGAGAGAGAGAGGAAGGGGAGAGAGACGATGAGAGACGAGGAGGAGAGAGGAGCGAGGAGAGAGAGAAAGGGCAACGAGAGAGAGCGAGGAGAGAGGAGAGAGAAGAGAGGAAAGAGGAAAGACGAAGACGACAGAGTGAGACGAGAGTAGCAGGGGAGGAGAGAATTGAGAGATGAGAAGAGAAGAGATGGGAGCTGAGAGAGAAAACGGAAGGAGGGAGGAACGAAAGCTGAAAGAGACGAGAGTGAGAGGGAGAGGAGGAGGAAGGACTGAGAGAGATACTGGAGAGGAGAAGAGAGAGAGAGAGAGAGGAGAGGGAGAAGAGTGAAGAGAGAGTAGAAGTTGGCGAGGGAGTGGAAGAACGAGAGCAGAGAGAGGACACTGAGGAGAAGCTGGAAGAGGGAGAGGGAGGGGAAGGGAGTGCAAGAGAGGATGAGGAGGCAGAAGAGAGAGATGAGAGAGAGGACGAGAGAGAGTTGGGGACTCCGATGAACATTGAGACGCACGGAGAGAGAAGGAGGAGCGATTGAGCGGAGGATGAGAGAAGAGAGGAGAGAGGGGGAGGAGGGGAGGGGAGGAGGGAGGGAGGAGAGAGAGAGAGAGAGAGAGAGAGAGAGAGAGAGACGAGAGAGATGAGGAGAGAGAGAGAGAGAGAGAGAGAGAGAGAGAGAGAGAGAGAGAGAGAGAGAAAGAGAGACAGAAATTAAAGAGAAAGAGAAATTCCTAAAGAGAGACAATTAAAAACAAACTAAGATTCCCGCCACCACTGAACGGATGAGCATCTTTACGTGATTCGGATATAATGGAAGTTGACGTAAATTTACGATTATTTTAGTCATATTTCCCTCCATTTTACAACGATCGTTTTTCCCATCACAACATACCCAGATCATGTTACGAAGTAGAGGATAGTTAATGGTTAAGCAAATTACTATTTTTTCGCATTCTTTCGTTTTCTTTTCTCTCGTTTGTGTTTTAGTGTTAGTGTGTGTGTGTGAGTGTGTGTGTTAGTGTTAGTGTGTGTATGTGTGTGTATGTGTGGTGTATGTGTGTGTGTGTGTGTGTGTGTGTGTGTGTGTGTGTGTGTGTGTGTGTGTGTGTGTGTGTGTGTGTGTTGTGTGTGTGTGTGTGTGTGTGGTGTGTGTGTGTGTGTACGTTTTCTTGGGCCTGCGCATGTGTGTGATTTAGTACATCCTGTGGTAAACACTTTATCTACACAGGGAAACCTTGCCCTTTCTCTCGCGAAAACATTAAGACTGCACACACACTGACTCGAGTGAAGGCCCAGTTTATCTACACTGACTGCAAAATAGGATTTATTGCAAGACCAGGTATGTTTTTATTAACTTTCTATTGTTAATTTCTCCACAAAAGGGTTATTGGTGTTTACATACGTTGCATATAATTTGGTCTTACTCTCAAACAGCTGCTAATGCTCATTTAATAAATGTCTTCCTTAATCCTTCGGATGCAGTGAGATGCTATGTGAATGTAAAGGTTTAGGGGAAATAATTACATGAACACACACACACACACACACACACAAAATATATATATATATATATATATATATATATATATATATATATATATATATATGTGTGTGTGTGTGTGTGTGTGTGTTGTGTGTGTGTGTGTGTGTGTGTGTGTGTGTGTGTGTGTGTGTGTGAAAAAAGTCTGAGAATATCCAGCAACATTCTTCTGTTGATATTGTATTCGGTGATTTGTTATATTTAACTTCATAAAATCGGATATATGGGAATAGGTAGGCCTATATCTTAATTCAGGGATGCTCATTTGTTTTGATAACGCGTCAGAGTGTATGGGTTGCCCATCGGAAGTGTGTCACTATTTTAGAGGCACTTTATATGAATATAAGAGTAAATATTGTGCTTTGTTAAGATGTTAGGGTAGATTTATTTACTCCTATGCCTTCTTGATGCGTCGCTAGCTTGTCAGCTGTTTTGAAATGAGCGCTCAAACTGTTACCAAACGCCAATGAAACAAATTCCACCCTCAACTTATGCATAACTTATCCCTCTACGAGATTGTTGGTGGGAATACTTGTCTATTGCTTTAAAAACCCAAATATGTATAGGTTGGGTGCTATTTTGACTTTTCTATGCTCTCCACGGACTGTTACGATTTGTACTTTAAAGAAAAACACTTCCTCATGTCTATCATCACTGAACAAGGCTTGCCTGCCTTGGATGTTTTAAGCAGGGAACGGTACAGTTCTTGGCCTATCGGCAAGAATTCTTGATCAAGCGCTCCCCTGCTTAAAACGCTAAGTCTCGGATCGAGTCCCAGATTCATTCGCCTAACTCAGTGTCGACCTTGTTCATTATTGAATGAGTTGAAATTTTCCAGAACTTAACCATTGCATGCCCTGTGGACCACATTACTCTTACACACATGATGGGTCCAAACAATATCATTGTTTTTGGTAAATATATTTATATATGTGTATATATTTATGTATATTAGGAGAATAAGGAGGATGTGGGAGGATGCTGTAGCTACAGGACCTCGCTTCCATAAGGGCAATGTGAGAGTAGACAATTTTTGTAGCAGATAAGTGTAGTAAGCTCCTGTAATTGTAGTACCTTTTGCCTGGAAATCCATCATCACTACTCCATGTTGTTTCAAAAAAACTGAACATGACCTTGCCTGCTGAGGATGCGACATGTGTCTTTTAGAGGGTGTTGAGTCAAAGTTGTTGACTGGGCCTTAGTTTCTGGATCATAGTGATGGACCCAAGTTTCATCCTGTGTAATTAGTCTGTCAAAAAAGTCCTGATTTTCTTGGCAATGGATAAAAGAGCCTTGGAACAGTTCCTACTTCTAGAAAGGTGTGAGTAGCCTGGGAACCCATTGAGCAGACAACTTTGGCATATGCAGATGGTTATGAATGATTTTGTCCACATACCCAACATTATTCTTGACATCTTGGGCTAGCTGACGAACAGTAATACGGCCATCTTCCAAAATAACAGTCTCCACTTAATGGATAGCGTTCTCATCAATAGCAGACTGAGGTCTGAACTGGCGATGTCAATGTATAACAATTCCATATGATTGCTTTCATTTCATCGGTCTCTTGTGGTGTGCGGCCTGAATGGCCTAAAAACCTGGTGACTGCTCGATATTCCTTTGGTTCCATTTTTACACCTTACTCCACCTTCATCGTTGTAACAAAAAGCACGTTATGAATAAAGGACTGGAAATCAACATATGACCTATAGATCTATGTATCATTATGCCTCCTAGGGTAAGCGGAACGGTGTTAAGGGAAATCTTTAATGAACGCCCCTCAAATATGTATATATACATATATGTATATGCATTTTATACATACTGAATCATTACTTCCAGGCTGTCTCACAATGGGGAAACCTCAAGGCTGCTTAAAATCACACGCTGTTAGGTCTATCCTTTTGATGGTTATCACAGCCGTGTGCTTCGCTCGCCCATGCTCCAGGTAGGCAAAGTCTGAGTACACCGAATATGTCCAATTTCATGAATGTTGTCACAGACTTTAAAAACTGGGTTCATCAAGGAGATTTACATACCCCTCTATAACCAAATACTTTTTGTTTATATTGCTAAGAGCAGTGTATATACCCTTCATAAAGAAAAGCTATGGTAGGCTCGCACAGAAAAAGAAGAAAAGAAAAACTAGTCACATTTATAAACAAGTTTTACGTTAAATTGTTTTCTGTGATATAACTTTTTAGGTTTTCGTTTGTTTTGTTCAAGTACGTTTTAGGGTTCCCTCTTTTTTTCGAATTATTGTTCAATTTCACATTATCCATAGTCCCCTAGCCAAATGTAGTCTTACCTGACCGTTGTGCTAGGGTGCTGTCTGCTATGCTTTTGTAAGTTTTGTACAGATGTCTCAACGACTATTCAGACACCAAGGAGTCAATTAGTAGGCCACTCATGACCTCTCCTGATTTCTCCATTCCTTGAATTTTCGGAAAATTATTTTTTACCGGTAATATCCCTATTCTTATCAGTATTGCCTATTATAGTGTTATTGCAATACTAATAGCGTTAAAAATCTTTCCGAAAAATAGGAAAACCGGTATGATAGGTAGGACTAGTGATTGACTCCTTGATAAGTATTTGTGGAGCCATCTATCTGTAATCACAATTAATGAACTAAAATCACAGTGGACATGGGTATGTATGTCATGCCATCAGAGTACAAAGGGTTTAGGTTATGACTAAGGTTGCCAACTCCCTGAAACGAAAATACGGGACAGGGGCCAGGTGCCACAGGTTGTACGGGACAACTTGTCTTGCGCAACTTCCAGCCATTCAGCTTCATTTTTTTCCATTCTGTTTTGTACTTTTGGGGGCATTGCTTTTTTTTTTTGGCACCGGAGAATCTGAGCGGGTAGAGGATCTCGCAGCGTCGTCCATAATTTTGTTTTGAATAATAATCCTCAAAATTGCCATGTACTCACATTCACAGACAAAACCCTAAAGATACGTTTTGCCCAGGAATTGACAAAACCTGGGGGGGGTGGGTCTAGCTACCATTTCCGACACTGTATATACTAAACTAATCTTTCTCAAAATTAACGTTTTCATAAGAAAAGGAGTTTAGTTTTACTAAGTCTAGACAACAGAAAACGACCTGTTTACAAGAACTACCAAGTCATTTAGTTGAAATTCGGTAATTTCCTAATTTTCCTAAACTTTCCTGCAAGGGTGCTACTTCAGAATTGATCTTTCATTACAAGGGACGCGTCATTTAGTTTCCAAATACGGTACGATTCCATATTTTAAGGGAAGGTTGGCAGCCCAAGTTATGACTATAAAAGTATTTGTATACAGTAGAGTATAGACCTTGCCCAACACCACTCTTGCATTGTGCATATAAGGGGCTCATATTATCAAATGATCTGTGCACTTAACAGCCCCATCTAAGTATCTCGGCAAGTCGAAGTACTGTACATTAATTGTCAATAGCAGTAACTCTTGCATGGTACTCTTTCAGTTTACACAATCATGGAAATGACATAGCCACAAGGAACAGGGTCAGCGATCGCCTTATAGCCAACCGGATTTTACCCCCTATGCATTTCCGAGAAAAGGCAAAAGGCTCACATCAGCGTCCAGCTACAAACAACAATCAGCATCAACAGATTACCACGTCACCAAAAGCTCAGGTCAATCGCAGTGTCTTCAGCAGCCTTCAGCGCCCTCCGACGCTCCCAGACAGTGCAGTTTTGTCAGCCTTACCTTCGAGACGTCTTCTGTCGACAATACAAGACCAAATTCAAACAGATGACGATCTCTACAAATTCATTGCAATTCATGATGATTTTCTAATATTGTGCAACCACCCTCCTCCCACTTTCTCCAATAAATTCTTCTACAACGGTGATTTCTACGATCCAGAGGCAAATTGCACATTCAGCAAAGGTTTCATTAGCTCGTTTTTCAATGTCGCCGACTTTTGTGAGTATTTGTTTTACAATATTTACAATACCACTGATCTCTTTTTCATGAGGATTTTTACAGAGATACCCAAACTTTTGTATTACAACAAAACCTTTGAAAACCTTTGTGTACCATTTTACGAGATCAAATACGGATGCAAATATAACGAACTCTTCACTACATGTAACAATGATAGTGTGATATTCCTTGACAGTGAGGTCTGCCCTCAACCACCTGTGTTGACAGACTTTGAGTACTATGTAGCTAATTATGTCGAGGAAAATAACTTTCACTGCTTATCAAAAATTTGTGACGGCACTTACCACACTATAGAATCAGAGGTTAGTGGTGTGAAATTCAAAGTGTCTAACGTCTTTCTCATTTACGAAAACAAAGCGTGCGATGTGTTCCCTTTTGTTGGAACATTTAGTAACGTGTCAGTTTTGTACACGTACATAAACATTCACTGGCCATGTTGTTTCTCAATGCACGCTGTCTATTGGGCAGAACACCCTGAAAAACACGGTCTCAACGGAGTGTGGAATTTCCTCCCCTTTTCGTGCCGTGTGGGTGAGGTCTGTCTGATAGTGCTTGTGGCTTGTGTGGCAACGGGAGGCGTCGTGGGCAACCTCATGGTTATAGTGGTACTGCTGAGAATTAGCAGCCGTAACGAAGAATCAAATATGCTCCGTTTATCCCTCGCTGTGGCTGACTTTTTAACGTGTGCTTTCGTCGTGTTACCTTCGCTCTATGAACATGTGAAACCATTTTTAACACCTACAGAACCCATAATTGTCCATCGGGTGGAGGAAATGCATGACATAATACCTGGAGAGACAGTTGATAGGACGGATGTGTATTTCCCACTCCGATTCTTCCAAGGACTGACATTTGCGTCGTGTTCTATCGTTTCACTCCTAACTCTCTTTCTCCTGAGTGCCGAGAGGTTTGTGATGACTGGCCGAGGTCTCATGTACAAGCATTACATTACTCCTCCGCGGGTCAGGCAGGCGATGGTCATCTCCTGGGTCATAGGCTGGGTCAATTCATCACTAATGACCATATTCGGTCGGACGGTTGCCACTGTTACATGGATGACGTTCGTTAAGATTCCTATCGGGTTGTCGAATTTTGCTCACGAGGACTTGGTGGTTTATACCTGCTATATCATCCAGATATTTCTTCTGTCCATATCAATCCCCGCTACTGTTCTGCTCTCAATTCTTTCCATCAAAAACTTTGTCCAAGAGCAGAATCGCGTGAGAGAAAGGTGGCACAATATGCAGATGCGGGTTTCAGGTCCCTTTGAGAGTGAAAACTACTACATATTCGTCACGCAGGTACTCATGACTGTATTTTTCCTAATTTCTGTTATCCCTCTTTCAATTTACTTTCTCAATTACAACCTACTACAGCTCGATTACTACAGTCCTCACTCTGCAGCGATTGCAAGTTCTCTGTATGAATATTTGTCGTGGTGGTTATTCTTAGCAAACACAGCGTGGAATCCATGGATTTACAACATGCGAAGTCAAAATTTTCGAGACGAGTTGTGGAAATTAAAATATGTCTGTATCCCTTTAGTTCTGAGGGAGAAATGGCGCTCACGACATATGCAGGAAAACAGCGACGCCCTAACACGGCGACAGAAACTTTTGTCGCAGGTAGGCATATTCACCTAGAAAACCGTGAATAATACGGCTATTTCTGTGTATATATTGCATCCCTTCACCTCTCTCTGTCAGTCTCTTTGTATGTCTGACTCTGCTTTTCTCTCCCTATGGAAATTTATCAGTATATCACTTTGCCGATATGTAAACCATTGACTATTTTTGTTCTTTAAACATTGTATATTCATCTGTTAACATCTAAGTTTGTGTATTTGTCTTGCATGGTGCCATGGAAATTCTTTAAGATTTTTTTTTTCATTAGATTATTGCACATGAGTCTAGTTGTTTATTTAACTTTATTCAATTTTCCATTTATTTATTTTAGGGCCCTTATTTTCAATTTAGTCCATTATGCTTCTCCATAGTTATGTACTTAAGTTGTTATTTTCTAACTGGCAAGTGGTTTCATGTGTATATTCCATACTAAGTTGGTCAGAATCCTCTTTTAAGCTTTTTTTTATCTGGTTGAACGAGAATCATATTTGAACGGTTCTATTATGTCTGACCTTTTCTCTCTTGTATATATATTTTATGTTCGTGTCACTGTGGCTTCCATGTTGCTATTGCTGTTATTAAATACTAGTGAAACTGAAGTGATTTTGATTTTACCTGAGGTTTGAAGGAGATTTATTATCTTTATTTTTTTTCAAGAAGTTCAGCATATCTCCAGATTTTCTTCTCTAATGCAATATTTCTGTTTAATGGTGTAGTTCGGAGAGACAGAGAATAATGTACAGTGCAAGTGCCTGCATTATCTCTCTCTCTCTCTCTCTCACACACACACACACACACACACACCACACACACACACACACACACACACACAACACACACACACACACACACACACACACACACACACACATACACACACACATTAAAACTTACTACCAATGTTCGTCTTTATTACTTTCATGGAACACTTTCATTAAAATCTTTAATTTTTCGCAAGAACAAGAACGTACATATTTGTATGTGATGAATGTGAATAGTGTTAGTCCTGGGCAAGACGTTGAAATGTATCCATCTGCTGCCTTGTGCATGTACAGGCAAAGGCTTGAAGACTAAAAACTGAATCCCAACCACCTTTTACTTTTCAGGCTTTTGCCGTGTAAATGCAAAGGCTAGGGCAGCTGCTGATACGTGGTGGTGTATCTGCAAGGGCATGCGACCTGTAAAAATTGAATGCCTCAATTATGGATTGCAGGATTCTGATTCGAGCAGAGCCCGAACGCCCCACATTAGCAACATAAATCCTCCGTGTGGTGTGGTAAGTGGGCGAGGGATGGTACCACAGAGACTACGGTTATGGCTAAGGAAGTGAGAGGTGGATGAGCAGATGAGGAATAGACATATGGCATGTCGGCTCGGTGAGAAGAGGCATGGGAATTGATGTAATGGCAAGAAGAGTTGAGATTTGTATGTACGAGACTAGAAGGAGTAATATGCAAATGCTGAGACTCAAATTGTATTCCAGGGAATTGGTGGAGCAAGGAAATGGTGTTGGAATTGTAGTTAGGAGAGAAATGGAAAGAAAATGTACTTAAAGTAGAAAAAATAACTTGTAGGTTAAGGACGAACTTAATTTAATAATTGAGACATTGTCTAAGGGGAATTCCTAGAAGAGGAGAGTATAATAGTGGAAGGAGATTTAAATGGACGTGGGAAAGTGAGATGATTACGAGGAGCATGGAGGTCAAAGGTATGCCAAGAGAAATGGAGAAGAAAACAAGATACAAGAAACGGCATTAAGTTTGGAGTTGTTCTAGGTGAACACTGGATTCACAAAGCCAGATGAAATTTTGATTACTTATAAGACTGGAGGAACCAAATGTTCAGTTATTTACATGCTGGTAAGGGAGAGGAAAAGAGTGATAAACTGTAAGGTTATTATGATTATTAATATTGTACGCTACATAAAGAGCCACACTGAAAAAATCGGGATTTTTATCAGCAAAGGTGTCAGTGGAGGTCAAGATACAGCTAAGAAAGAAGAAGATAGAAAGTCAGCTGTTTACGTAAGAAAAATATGTTAGCTGATCTTTTAAACTTATCAAGAGTTGGAGAGGTTACTATCTCTGAAGGCAATCTATTCCAAAGCCTACAAATGGCAGTAAAAAAAATCGAGAAGCATGTTACGCAACACAGACTAGTAGTAGTGAACATTAAATAAGAATGAAGGAGCTAAGAAGGGGAAGGTCTGGCACGTAAAAGAAGAAAAGGCGATAGAAAAAAATAAAGAAGGAAGAAAGGAGTACAAATCGAGGATGTAGAGAAAATAAAAGAGATTCTGGTTACAATGGCAGTGGAGCTTGAACTCGAGTCAGGAGAGCGCTAAATACAGAATTATGGTGGCGAGACGAAATTCAGAAAATATTAAGGAGGAAGGATGCCTTTAAGAAATGGGAAACAAGTAGGATTGAGGTAGGTTAGGCTATAGCGATAAAGTTGATGGAGCATGGACTCAGGATACTGGTAAGTATGGCTAAGGAAAGAAGTAATATTTGATGACATGCAGTCTGATTTAATGAGAAGAAGAGGAACAACAGATGCATCTATTATCAGACTATTGCAGGCAAAAAACACTGGAGGGAACATTACGATATATTGTGCTTTAAAGACCTGGAGAATGTATACGAGTGTTCTAAGAGATGTGGTATATCTAAGGAAGAAAGTGAGATAGGGGTGTTGTGATAAATGTCATTCGAGATGAGAATGGTGAGTTGTGATGGGTGCAGCAAGATAAAGATTATCAGTATAACAAGTGGCAATACTTCTAAAGGCCTGTTCACACTTCAGTATGGTAGTGAAAAGGGTAAAGAGGGAAGAGCAAATGGAGTACGAAGGCCATTCAGGGTTGACACAAAGCTAGCCTTTCATCCTTTCGGCATGGCTTTCACATCTTGGGGAGTGGACAGAAGCAGCGGATGATTAAGAGAAGAAAAAGGAAAGACCATGCAAAATCAGTTGAGGCGAGGGCCAAAGTCCAAGGTAGGTGTGATCCCTTACATTGAGCCTCGGTCTCCTAAGCCCTGACGCACGACAACGAGCAAGGGACTGAAGAGGTAAAAAGATGCATTTGCAAATTTTAAAACCCAACAACTTATTGCCGCCACAGACTGCGTCACATTGACTTTTGTTGTGGAACTTCCTTAACCACATGAAGAAAAGTAATCTTGACATTAGTCCAGGTAATCGTAATTTTTGACACATTTTGGTATGATCCTCTCTAAAACCAATTCCTGGCTGCTTTGTTATTTAGCATTTCTATATAATATTCTGTATTTCTAATTAATGTTATGTATTCTAATGAAGTGCCAATCTTTCTATAATATACTCTTTAGTTTGTAAAATTGCTGCAAATTTGAATATTCTGTGCTCATATACATAGAATCTCCTGCCCATCAGGTCGTCTCTGTTCGAGACAACCCTGGGTGGAGGAGGCCTGTGGGACGACCGAGGAAGTCATGGCTTGGGCAGATCGACCAAACCTGCCGTGAAGAACTAGAGATGGGCCGAGTCCTGCTGGCGTCTAGCCAAAGGACATGGAATAGAAAATAAACATCAAAATGGTTACTTCTTGAGAAAAGGAACAAGCATATACAATTGTAAAAAATCAAGACACAATGAGAACAATTCATTTGTACCAGTCAGAGGACATAAAAACAATTTTCAAAAAAACAAACAAATATATTTACCAATATGGTATGAGTGTACAGTACTTAATGTGGAGATATGATTGATATTTTTCAATTATAATAAAAGCTATATTATAAAATGCAATGACACACTAGCTACAACAATGGACATATCAGAACACTAAATAAAAGTTCAATTTCCAGTTTTCGAAAAGTACTGTTCTTCAAAACAAAGTGAACTGAATGACAAGATTCTTGTTGAAATTGAGAAAACTGAAAATTAATTTCCGTTTAGCACAATATCTCTAAATATATTGTATCCTTGTCTTTTCATCCAGGTAGAATCTTTTAAAAAATAAACCCCGATAGGTCAAATGTCTACCTTTACTTCCCTATCTCCTCGAGAGGAATGATAAACAGTCGAGGCTGCATAGCCAATACCAGTCATACATAATACATATATTGATTAAACTGTGACCTAGCTATTAACACACTACTTATTCTTCTTTGGAGGTCTATATACACCAACTACAACTGCGTGATCTCTCTCATAGGGTTCCAAGGTAAGTTGTTCTTGGGGCTTCAGCAAATCAGCCTGGAGTTTCTTAATCTCCCCGGCAAATACGGCTTCTGCAGGAGCTGTAGAATCAATACAGTTGGCCTTGATGGAGATGACATAATGGCCATTTACTTTGAGGAAGTGCTGGGCATTGATGGCCACAATACGTGCCTGATCAGGCTGGGCAACATCAGCAAAGATACAATCTACCATGCTGACAATCATGCGGTATTTGTGAGGGTGCCGCGCATCTTCTACAATGGGTACAATGTTAGTACGCTTCTTGGCCATGTTCACCAAGTCACGTCCTGATCGGTGTGAGAACTCTACAGCATACACTACGCCTTCCTAGTGTGGGCAAGAAAGAAAATAATCAGCAAACAGATATATATTATTTTCTGGATGATACAAGTGTACATGATGAAATTACCAAATATTAAATTGTTGCTTAGAAATAAACAACGCAACTGAATCTAAATCTTCATGAAATATGGTGTACAAAAATACAATATCAATAATCAACTGTACACTTTTCTTCTTTAAGATGATAAAGCAAATAGTAGCTTCTGAACAGAAGTCCACCTAAAGTGGTCTCATGTAATTTGTCCTGAACAATATCTATGAACTCATTACCAAAGACAGTGACCAAATCCTCTAACATTTACTTACTGGTCCAACTACATCGGAAACATGTGATACTGTTGTGCCATTGGCAGCACCCAAGTAGAGTACTCTGGAGCCTGGAGGCATGTAGATATTTCCAATACCACCTACAATGGCAGCAGCCAACTTTGAACGGAATGGATTCCACACGCGGTACTCAATCTTCTCTGTTCCTTGCTGAAATAGATATTGCTTATTAACTTTTTGACTACTATACTTAATGGGACCGTCCCTGACAGAGGGGGGGAAGGGGTTTAAATTGAGTTAGTTAGCGTATAGTATAGGTACATGGATGAGGAAACTACCAAACGATTATTAAGCTCCTGCTA